TTTACCCTTGTCACGACCACACCCTGGCACATCGCCAGGCGGGCGTTGTCAGACTTGAGCATTAGAGTCCTGCGACGAGGAACGGTGGCCTCGGGGGGAAATAAGTGTAATCCCAGTGTGCCTTTTCCAACTGGGCAGGTCCTGGCGTGAAGAACGAGCTGTCGATCGGTTTGTGGTTTCAAGAGACGTTGTTCTGGAGAGCCCAGCGGCTATCGGCGAAGTCCCAGAACAGAAACTGACCGAATCCCCGAGTGCCAGAGAGCAAACTACCAGGAGTCGACCGGTTGAGGCATTCAAGAGACATTGTCCTGGAGAAGCCCGGCGGCTTAGCAAGCCAAGTCCCTGAACCTCGAACCTCAAGAGCCTGAGATCACGAAGCACCCAGCCTCACAGCAAGCACGACCAGGTGCAGAGCAGTGGATAATGGCGGCAGTAAGCATCATCAGCAGCCACATCAAGACAACTGCGTAAAACTCATCAAGTAGCGCAGAAACGCCGCGGACGACAAGCAATAGTATGAGGTAAGGGTGGGACGTTCGTCTGCACTAGGCGTAAAGCGCAGTTAACTGCCAGGCAGCTTTCTGGCGTAATCCTTGACGGCGGTCGTTGTTTCGAAGGCGTTGCCCTGGAGAGCGAGGCACCTGTTCACCCTAATTTCGGCCCGCGCGGCCGATCTCTCTGCGAGTCCAAGGCGAGGCAAGCGACTTCGAGTCAACGCGTCGACGAGCGAGCACAGGCGGGGGACAACAGGAGCATTTCAAGACATAGGAAGGTGTACGGAGTCAGCGGTCAACGAGTCGAAGAGCCACATCAGTACTCACTGCAGTCATCGCGTAGCGACACCGATGCCATCCGATCCACCCACCCGCTTTAATAAGTCAACCCAAAATAAAATTCTGTGCTATATCAGTGATGTACGGAGCAGACACATCATATTAATTCGGTGGCACGAACACACAATCTACTGATCTAGCCGAACGAATCTCGTAGAGAGCTTATCCGAGCATATCATTTGAAACCTCCATAGCTAATACACCTTCTTGAAGCCATAAATGTATATGTTTGTTAAAAATGATCAATAATGCCATCTTAAAATAAGCATTTTATTTATATTGTTATGTATTGAGTTTATATCAAAAAGTTAACTTCCCATACTTAGCTATAAGAAAAATAAACAAATATTCTCTTTAACTCTGGGGTATTGCGTAAAATTTTTTGAAAATGTCAGTTAATTGTATCATATAGCTGTCACAGGAATATATGTTTATACCCGTTACTCGTAGAGTAAAAGGGTATAATAGATTCGTCGGAAAGTATGTAACAGGTAGAAACAAGCGTTTCCGATTCCATAGCCGAGTCGATCTAGCCATGTACGTCTGTCTGTCCGTCCGGATGAACGCTGAAATCCCGGAAACTATAAAAGCTAGGCTATTGCTATTTGGCATGCAGATTCCTGAGCTTCTTGCGCAGCGCAAGGGTGCCAAGCATACTCTAACGCCCATAAACCGCATAAAACTGTGGCTCCTACAGCTTTGATGCTAGAATACAAATTTTAACTGAAATGTATCATCAATACCTATCGATTGACCCAAAAAAAGGGTTTCCAAGCCCACTTCACCGCCCACATAACCATATATTGGGATCGCAGGTAGGTAGCGCATTTCAATCTCGCTTTGCTACTTGCATATCTTTATTTCCCTTTGGTCCCTTTATCTGAGTAACGGGTATCTGGCAGTCGAGGTACTCGACTATAGCGTTCTTCCTTGTTGTTGGGGCGGTGCGGCTTGATCGATGAAATAGTTGAAGCCCCAAGATTGATTGGTACCCAAAAAACACGGGAGTACTTTTGGGGTTTTTACCCGACGTGCTTAGATGTTTATTGGATCACTTTGAAATAAGAACTGCTTTAGCCTAACTTAACTTAAGCGCTCCAGAGCAAAGCGGTGACTTAAGGGAGAGATGGAGAGGGAGAGCGGACGGCAGTGCGAGCGCGCGAGATGTAGAAATCTGCCGCTCGACACTGCCTCCTGAAATTAAACGCCCTTTTAACGTAAACATTCTCCCCCCCCCCTTGCGAGGACACCCGTAGCAAGAACCTCAGGATAGTAGGCTCAGGAATATGTTGGAAGTATAGATCGGTCGTCCGTATGTAGGAGAGTGTGATGGTCCTTTCCACACTTGTGGCAGTGATGACCACTGCGGCAGGAGTCCTTGGTATGATTGTGAGCCAAGCAATTGGAGCAGTACTTCTGGATATATACTTCCTGAATCTGATTCTGGGGGCTTAGCTGTAGAAAGTGGTGGCACTTCCGTAGAGGATGGATCTTTTGGCAGACTCGGCATTGGTAGGATTTAATACCTCGAGTACGTCTGCCATTCAAGGTGGGGTATGGAACCCAATATTCGGATGGAGTATTCTTAGGAGGGACTTTTTGTACGGAAACTTGCGTTGAATAGGACGAAATGATGTGTGTAACTGAGGCGGATACTGGCCTTGGAGGGTCGGATGGAATCGGCGGAGTAGTAGGACCGCTGTTTCGATGCAGCAATGTGTGATGCCGATCCTGGCAAGTGAGACAGTTGTGAGCGCTTGTGCAATCCCGGAATTGATGGCTGCTTGCAAAGCAATTGGAGCACAACTGCTTCCTTTGAATATAGGCTAGGCGATCGTCTACCGTCATTTGTAGGAAGCGTGGACATATACGCACAGGGTGGTTCTTCTTCGAACACAGATCACAGCCTTTGGGTATCGGAACTAGCCTTGTGTTGAAGGAATTTATTTTTGGAAATTCTGCCACTCGATTTGTGTATTTGGACTGGACGTGGTGGAAATTGGCAGATCGGAAGCTATCGACGGCCTCAAGAGTTCGATGGCGCTCCGTCAAATAGGAATCAAGCTCAAGCCACGTAGGAATTTCGGCTTTATTTTGGATGGATTGCTCCCATAATGAGAGAGTGAGCTTTGGTAGCTTTGTCGAGCACATATAAACCAGGATAGGGTCCCAATTCTCAATATTAACACTGGAAAATTGTAAGGAAGTTAAGCAACCTTGAAAAATGCGTTGAAGTTTTTTTAAGGCTGCACCCGACTCCTGTGCTATGGATTGCACATTGAAAAGTGTTTTTAGGTGACTGTTCACCTGCAATCGCTTATTTTCGAAACGCTCAGTTAGGTTATTCCAGGCTGAGCGAAAGCCATCATTGGTGAGTGGGGATCTTGAAACTATGGAATGAGCTTCGCCACTTGTTTTTGAATTTAAGTGGAATAATTTTTCAACGGGCGTTAGACTCGGATTGCCTATGTATATTTCCGTAAAAAGGTCCCGGAAAGGCCAGCGAATATAATCGCCAGAGAAAACCTCTGTGTCGATAGGAGGGAGCCGACAGCCATAAGACGTGGAATTTTAGGACGGACTTACTGGAGCTTGAGGTATTTGGGAGGAGCCCTTTTGGATTTGTTCCATCAGCTGCGCGGAAAATATTTCGTTTGGTAATACTTGGACTTTAGTATGGATTTTGTGTCTGCGGCGCTCTCGCCTGCAGCTATAGTGCAGTCGGAGCATATATCGTATGCTGCCTTTACCGTTTGCCACAAGGAATTGAGGTGATCGCGACGGATTTTATAGGCGGATAACGTTGGGGTAGGAGCACCATCGGATGGTCGGACTTATGTAAAGAATTACGGACTATAATATTGTATGTTTGGAAGGCACGTTTATTGTGAGCTCTTGAACCACTGTGCACTGGCGAAAATATCGATATACTGTACATATGTACATATGTGGGGTGCGAATAGCGGAATAACGTTGCGAGAATTGGAAAGACTTCGCTTATGTTTGTATGTCGGTGCGTTTGTTTGTCACCTGCACAACTAAATTGCAAACGATTTGCTGGAGTAAATTTGTGGAATTTGTAACTTTGTTTTTAATTTTAGAAATAGATTAGCCGTATTTGTAGTTCGAGAAAAGTAGTTGGAGTGGACTGTATTAGAAAGAGTAGTTAGAGTGGACTGCACTAGAATATTTATGTAAATATACACACGCAGCTGGAACACAGTAAAAAATAAAGAGTGAAAATCCGAAGGAAAAATTTTATGATCGGGAATTTTTTACTGTGGCTGAGTTATATTTTACACACAATTGGAATTGAAAATATATTTGAGAAATATTTTAGGTGAATAGTAGCACTGAAATATCTTCTGGAATTTTTTTAAGTGTGCAACTGTGGGCAAAGGAAACTGGAATATTGTCGGGCACAAGTAACGGATTTGAAATACATATATTAAATGCCGTTGCGTCGAATTAATCACTTTTGAATTTAGACAATATATCATACAGAAAGTTAGTCAAAATAGGGTTTGAAAAAACTGGCTGTATGACCGGCAATTAGTAAGTGGAACTTATCTGGAGCGTTTCAAGCCTGCTGAGACAAAATCAAAGAAACTCCAGGAGAGGAAAGTCCAAAGATTTTGAAATCCGGCTTCGACTGGACAAAAATGTTGAAGCCCCAAGATTGATTGGTACCCAAAAAACACGGGAGTACTTTTGGGGTTTTTACGCGACGTGCGTAGATGTTTATTGGATCACTTTGAAATAAGAACTGCTTAAGCCTAACTTAACTTAAGCGCTCCAGAGCAGAGCGGAGACTTAAGGGAGAGATGGAGAGGGAGAGCGGACGGCAGTGCGAGCGCGCGAGATGTAGAAATCTGCCGCTCGACACTGCCTCCTGAAATTAAACGCCCTTTTGACGTAAGCACTTGTTTTATACTAAGATTCCGCATATACTGTTTCTAAGCGCACATTGTATGATTTTAATTGCATGATAGCATTTAAGCTGCAACGGTATATCATCATTGGCTTCCCGAAGCTAGCTTCTCTTTTGTTTTATTAAATGCCTAGAGGGACATTCTTTATTTACACGCCACAGAAGAATGGTTATATTATTTGTGTGTGATAAACCCTGAATTTCACATCTTGCATATACAGCGTGTCTCGCCTCACATGTTACGGAGACCGTGATACAAATTTGCCATGGAAGACGGCGATGCAACCTGGCGGCAGACGCGAACACATTTTGAAGCCCTTGCCAACCCAACTCTCGAATGTACTTAAAGGTTGTTTATACATGCGGTAGGTGAGATACAAAGGTCAAGCTTCATCTCTACATACTAAATTAAACTTGGGCAGTCAGATGCCGATTAATATTCAATTTATTTCCGTAATTTCAATTGCGGTTCCTCTCTTTGTTGCTCCTGTACAGTGCCAAAACAAGTTCTTAAAGATAGCAAGGAGTCGGAAGTAGAGCCTGACAAAGCTGAGGACTTAGACGGCGATATGAATGATCTCTACGACGATGAGCTGATCTACAAGGAGTCAGAAGCTATTCCCAAGCTATACAGCAATACAACAACGGCAAGACGCGGTAATGGCACCAGCTCAGCCGGGTCGGGGTCCAGTGCTAACGTGTCGAGCAACCAGACCATAATGAACAGATCCCAGGTTATAGATGGCGATAAAAGTGGCGTGAATCCTGTGATGACACACAGTGCTGACCAGAGTCTGGAAGGTATGCCATTTAAAACAACAAAAAGTTCGTAGACAGACTGTAGACCTATTTAACGATAAAACAAAAGAGAACGTTATTCTCGAGTGCCTCGACTGTCAAATACCCGTTTATCAGCTAGACAGCTTTAAATTAAATTAGTCTAATATACTTGAAACTTTTAAACTCTTCAAAGCGAAAGATTTCGGTTTCCACAACTGGCACCCCCTAGCGGGTATAACTTTAGATGCTTATACGTTTTAATGAGTGGCCCGACTTCAAAAATTTTTGGATCCGTATTTTGGATGGATATATTACAAATTATTATTTTATTTTTATTGAAATTTTAAACTTACCAACGGGTATCTGGTGGTCGTGGCACTTGACTATAGCATTTCGTCTTGTTTTTTGGTCATTCTTTCCGCGGGAACTATAATCACAAACAAGGCAAAAGAGTACTTGTCCCTAGGGAACAATGCCTCTTATTTTCATATATTGTTTCTTATATATTTCCACGCCCAATATCGATCCACTTTTATTCGATGTTTTATTCTAACAGAGGACCAGGAACGTTTATATTTGTATCTTATTGTCTTGGGCTCACTGGGAGTGCTTTTCTCTATAATCATTTTCGCAACTAAGCTAGTGCTTCAAAAGCGCGATCTTACTACTGATGCGCACTTAAGCTCCTTGGCCAAAGGAAGGGATAGAGCAATTGAGGAGACAATTATCCAGAGCGGTTTAAACGATACAATCTCAGAAATAGACGCCGACATTGACATTAAAACTCCACTGCCCTTACCCAGTGTGTTTAAAAATGAGGTAGGTACTATTGAATAAGAGCCTTCACCGTCCACCCACTTACCTACCCCCACTTAGAACTACCTGACGTACGCTCCAGCTAGTAGCCTTTACGCTGGTTTGTCCCCCAACCAGTTACCTCCGGTGAGTTGCCCAGGACCTGGCGCCGAGCTTATGCCAAATTCAGTTTTAATGGCGGGTCGTCAGTCACCTGACCTCATCGGTGTAGCGCAGGGACCTTTTGTCACCACGAGTGTTGGCAGTGCAGGCGGTCAGGGTCCAGTAGCGGGCATTCTGACCTCAGCTATTGTGATTGGAACTAGCGCCCCCAGTAACAGTCCAATAAGTAAGTAATCTCACCGGTGTACTTCGATTGTTATTTCAATGTCGTTTTCTCTTGAAAGGTCCAATGGTACCCATTACCTCGCTGGACCCGTATACGAGTGCGCCTTCAATCAGTGGTGGGTATATCATTAACCCCGACAGCATAAGTGTGCATCAACGGCAGAAGAGCACCCCAACACCGGCGTCCTTGTTGACTAGAAGCTCGCCAGCGCACCAACCGCAACCGCCGCTAGTGAATGTCAGTTCACAAAATAATGTGTCCATACCTGGTCAGGGCACATCGACATTGCGACGGGCAAAGCCAAGTATTTTGCAGCCGCATCTTTCATATGACGGCACCGCCCCACGCACTCTCTCAACCGGCGTGGCCGTTGGCTCACAGTTCTACTACGGATGACAAAGTACATTGGACTGCGATCCCCATGTGTACACCACAGCTTTGGGTGTGGAAATACGCGTGGCTCCCTCAATTGTGGCAGATCGTTCAAGCGCAATTGAAAACTTTGCCGCATCTTAGCCATTGACTTCGGCAATGCCAAACTCCTCAAGATTATTGGAAAATTTCAAATGAGGCGTAAGGGACAATTCGAAGAAAATTTCTGCTGGCGTTTTCAGCTATAAGCTAATCCTAGATCCAAAGTGAAGATGGCTGTTATCTAATTACTGCCCCTAGATTGGTACAGATGCAGTTTTAAACATGGAAAAACACCGGAAAATGAAGAAAGCTAATAAGTTAATTCAATTTCCACATTCTCTAAAAAACTTTTAAGACAATGTCGATGGCTCTAAAAACGGAATATATTTTGACAAAATGTTCAGGTTGTTTTCGAAAAGTATTACTTATACTCGCGATAGAAAGAATCAATTAACCGGAAAAGGTTTGCACTGATTAAGCAAAAGCGATTTGTGGGCACGTAGTCACAATTGCTCAGTCCAATTTATACAAGGCACTACTGGCCTCATCCCGAGCACGGCTTGGCAAAAAGCAAATGCATTGTGCACACGATCCAAATTTTGGGGCACTTAACAAAATTCATAACAAAGCGTGTTGTTAAATTAAGATTTTCTATGATCTTTGATTTTATATCATTTTCACATAAATCTATAAAATTTGTTATTTAGCTATGCTTGGTCGGAGGTTTTCTTCAAACTGTCAAGTGCCTTCCTAATTAGTACTTAAGAGTGTAGTTTTCGTTTACTTAAAATTGAAAGTCATCGGAGGGGACGGTGTAGAAGTTAGATAAAAGAAGGCAACCCAATAGATATAAAATTAGTGTATTAAAAATTGTAAATAAGTAGCTTTGTGGATATAATATTCGATTGTTGGAATTTTGATAAAATAACTTCCTGGCATTAGAAAGGGTAAGGTGCAGAGTAGGGAAAGATGACGAACTGGCCAAATCTCACATGTGACGTTACGTAAATATTACATACAATTGTAGTCGATTTCTCGTATCGTTCTGACTATGTAATTACACTAATATTATTAAGTTCGTGAGATGTTTTTAACCATAGAGGATGAGCAAAAATTAAAAAACCAATTTATAAGTGTTTCAGCATTGCCAGAGTAAAGAGATTTGGAAAACCAAGTGAAACAAATACACTGGTCGGCATTTTTTTTATTTTGACGAAACAAAAGTTAAATACATACAAACATACAAAAATTTGTATACTTCTATTTTTTATGATTTTTATACCCGTTACTCGTAGAGTAAAAGGGTATACTAGATTCGTCGGAAAGTATGTAAGAGGCAGAAGGAAGCGTTTCCGACCCCATAAAGTATATATATTCTTGATCAAGATCACTAGCCGAGTCGATCTAGCCATGTCCATCTGTCCGTCTGTCTGTCCGGATGAACGCTGAGATCTCGGAAACTATGGGAGCTAGGCTATTGAGAATTGGCGTGCAGATTCCTGAGCTTCTTACGCAGCGCAAGTTTGTTTCAGTAGAGTGCCACGCCCACTCTAACGCCCACAAACCGCCCAAAACTGTGGCTCCTACAGTTTTGATGCTAGAGTAAAAATTTTAACTGAAATGTAATGTTCTTATCAATACCTATCGATTGACCCACCCCACCCTAACGCCCATAAACCGCCCACAAACTTCAAAAAATCGTAAATATGAACGTGGATATCTCGGAAACTATCAAAGATAGAGAATCGGGATTTCAGATTTATATTCCGTAGCTTTATACGCAGCGCAAGTTTGTTACGCGAATATGCCACGCCCACTCTAACGCCCACAAACCGCGAAAACCTGTGACGCCCACAATTTTTATGCTAGATAAATTTTAACTGAAATGTATTGGTCTCGTCAATACCTATCGATTGGTCCAAAAAAAAATTTGCCACGCCCACTCTAACGCCCATAACGCTTAAATCTGTATACCGCCCATAGGTGGTGCATTTTAATCTCGCTTTGCTACTTGCATATCTCTTTTTAGCTGAGTAACGGGTATCTGATAGTCGAGGTACTCGACTTTAGCGTTCTTCCTTGTTTGATATGATGATCTCAGAAAAATGTAGTATGAAAAAGAGAAAAATTTGAACCAAATGCAAACATTTACACATTTTTAAAAAATCAGAAAAAAAATTTAGAAAATAAATTTTAAAAAAAAATTTGGCAGTTACTATTTATTTTGTTTATAAAACCTTTTTGCATCAAACATTTTTGTTTTTAAATCGTGGAAATAAGTTTAAAAAGTAGATTTTAAATTTGCTAAATGGGTTAAGAAGAGGCTTGTACCTGGTAGGGTATCATGACACACATTTTGTAAAGTAAATAGATTTAATTCTTCCCGTATGTGTTGACATTATACCGCTAATTTTATCTTTTCTAAAGCCAATAATTAGAAAAAAATACTTTTTGTTAATTTTTGTGATTAAAAAATCAAACAACTGAGTTTGTTTAATTGAAACCCAGAACTAAAATAGACATTTTTTAAGAGTACATCTAAATTTGTAATTCATTTCAACTTTTTTTGAAATAAATAAAAATAGTTTTCACATATGCTAGAGTACTTTTGTCTATTTATGAGTTCGATATCTTACACCTACATCTTTAAAAAGTTAAAAAAAAAGGATTCATCAAATCTTGAATTTTACCATCGAACTTCAACAGGAATTTTCTCAATAGATGACAGCAACTTTCTGCTTTTAAACTTTAAAAAAATATTTATTTTTGAAAAAGTGGCAATTAAAAAAAGAATCGTTCGTCACCATACTCTACACACCCCTACAAAAAATTCTGGATGTTTAAAGTTCTTAAATACCGTAATTATTAAAGTGTTTGTACATAAAATTATTATTGTAGGTCGGATTTAAGATGTGAGATAATTCACAAATCATAACTGGTACGCGAAAAAAAATGTTAAATCAAATGGAAAATATACATAAAATCATACCAATCTTATAAAGGCACATTAACACAACTAATTAAACTCCCTTACAGCTATGCCAAATCTGTAATCATGGAACATTGTTACTTTTAAACAAAAATGCATTTTGCTGGAAAGTCAAAAAGGATTGTATTAAATAACTACATTGAGGGTGAATTGTGAAAAAGCTTTTTTGTTGGCCATTTTCCTCATATGTATATGTATTGTAAATTTATACGATTCATTTAAAAGAAATCAATATACTATATATAGAAATAAATTTAAATAAATTGTAAATTCACATGCTGATATCTAAATATATTCCTTCTATTTATATTTATTCATTGGTAAGTACAAAACCTCGAATATCTCTGAAATTTGGTAACAACAATAAGAAGTGTTCCACTCAATGTCAAATTACAAAATATATCCTCTGTTTAAACATCTATAATTCCGGATTTAGTAATCTAATTGACTTCGTTTCTTTTTATACCCTGGCGGAGGGTATTATTACCAAAGACATAATTTTTTATACCCTTGCAAAGGGTATTCTGATTTCAGTCAGAAGTTTGCAACGCAGTGAAGAAGACGTTTCCGACCCCATAAAGTATTCTTAAAAATACAAAAACTGATATTCCCAATATTATAAGATAATTCCCTAAACTACTGAATTGCTGAATTGTTGAATTCAGCCGTAATCAGTTGTTCCATACAAAGTCAACTTTCACAAATTTCAGCAATTCAACAGCTTCGGGGGTGTTGAAAATTTTGTTGAATTGTTGAAAACCAGAGTTGTCGCTGTTCTCGACTAAAAGTAAGAGGGTAACTCTGGTCACTTGTAAACATGGAGAAATTGCAATCGTATAGAAAATGCAAATAATGGATGTCTGATAGAAAGCTGCCTGTTAGGAGTTATAATAGTTTAGTTTTTGGCTTATTCTCGGCATTTCCCGTAATTTATACATAATCTTTGGTAAACATATCCTGGCAATTTGACAATCTGACAAACAGCTGACATCTTAAAATAGAAAATTCAACAGGGAACTTTTAGGGTAGTTCCCTTAATTGCTGTTTAGGGAATACCCCGTACATGTCAAAAAACACCGAAGCTATAATTTGTTTCAGATTATTTTCCCACAAATTTTCAGATCAATCCTATGGCAGCTAAATGATATAGTCGTTCGCTTTTGATAAAAATAAATTCAAAACTAATTCAAAAATGTTATTTCCAAGCGTATGAGGTTATATGTTAAAAACACCAAAGATATAATTTTTTAAAATATTTTTCCGGCTGGTTCCGACTTATATACTACCTGCAAAAGAAATAAGACTTTTGGGAAAGTTTCAGCCCGATAGTTTTAAAACTGACAGACAAGTTTGCGTAGAAACGGACGGGCAGACGGACAAACGGACATGGCTAGATCGACTCGTCTAGTGATGCTGATCAAGAATATACTCGTATATACTTTATGAGGTCGGAAACGTTTCCTTCACTGCGTTGCAAACTTCTGACTGAAATCATAATACCCTTTGCAAAGGTTTAAAAAATTATATCTTTGGTGTTTTTTAACATATACCCTCATACGCTTGGAAATAACATATTTTTATTAGTTCTGAATTTTGAATTTAATTTTATCAAAATCGGACGACTATATCATATAGCTGCCATAGGAACAATCGGAAAATTGGTGGGAAAATCATATGAAAACAAGGAAGAACGCTATAGTCGAGTCGACTATCAGATACCCTTTACTCAGCTAAAGGGACCAAAGGGAAATGGAGATATGCAAGAAGCAAGGGAGATTAAAATGCGCCACCTACCGGCGGTAGACAGATTTAAGCGTTATGGGCGTTAGAGCGGGCGTATCAATTTTTTTTATCAATCGATAGGTATTGACGAGACCAAAATATTTCAGTTAAAATTTTTTATCCAGCATGAAAATTGTTGGTGTCACAGGTTTTCGCGGTTTGTGGGCGTTAAAGTGGGCGTGGCAAACTTTTTTTTGAGTCAATCGATAGGTATTGATGAGAACAATATATTTCAGTTAAAAATTTTATTCTAGCATCAAAACTGTAGGAGCCACAGGTTTGGGCGGTTTGTGGGCGTGGGCGTGTCACTCTGCTGAAAAAAACTTGCGCTGGGTAAAAAGCTCAGGAATCTGCACGCCAAATCTCAATAGCCTAGCTCTTATAGTTTCCGAGATCTCAGCGTTCATCCGGACTGATCACGAATATATATACTTTATGGGGTCGGAAACACTTCCTTCTGCCTGTTACATACTTTCCGACGAATCTAGTATACCCTTTTACTCTACGAGTAACGGGTATTCAAATTATAGCTTCGGTGTTTTTTGACATATTGTCTTATACTATTGGGAATAAAATTTTTTGTATTCTTAAGAATTTCAAATTACATTTAATAATTATAACTGCTAGTTTATACAAATTACGGATTACCGAATTTAACTTCCTTTGTTGTTTTTGTTTAATTTAGGTTAGGTTAGGTAGGAGTGGTTGGAGACTAGATATTAGTCCCCTCACTTAGGTCACAATGGGCCCCTTGTGATACCACATGATCTCTGAAAGATCCTTTTCCCTAGCTCATGGGTTATCTGCTTTCGCGAAGTATTCTGTTCTTCTCAAGTAACATAATAGTTTTCGAATGCTTACGTCCTGAATGGCCGCAAGGTTCGGAAGTGTGTAGCTACCTAGGGTTTGAAAGCGCTTTAGGTTATGCGCTGGGCAGAAGCATAGGAGGTGTTCGATGCTCTCCTCTTCGTCTATCTGTTTGCAGCTGCGGCAGAAGTCGTTGTTACTTAGACCCAGCCTTATCGCATGAGTCCCTATAAGACAGTGGCCCGTGAGGGCATTTATGAGAGTGGAGATGTCCTCCCTGCTACATTGTAGGAGAGTTTTTGTTCTTTTCGTGTTGTAGTTTGGCCATGTGAGTCTAGAATTGTGGCATGTTGACATTGAGTTCCAACGGTTGTTGGAAAGTGTATACAATCTCTGCCTGAGATGGAGCTTGCAGGTAGACATGGGCATACCTACCGTGTCCTTATCACGAAGGATACCGGCGGCTGTCCCCTGTCTTGCTAGCTCGTCTGCTATGCAGTTGCCCTCAATGTTGCGGTGTCCAGGCACCCAGATGAGGTTGATTCTCAGATGAGTGGCCATCTCGTTAAGAGCGGCCTTCAGAGATTGTTTTTGAGCTCGTTGTGTAGGAGTCGAGGGCGCTGAGGGCTGCTTGACTATCCGAGAAGATGAAGATATCTCTGTCTTGATGTACAGACGTGTTCAGGTGGGTAGTGGCTTCC